AAGACATGGCCGAGAGCATCTTGTTCGTTTTGGTTGGGCAGAAGAAGCAGGAACTGCGGTCCAGCAAGCTTTTGCAAGCTCCCAGAGAGGAGTATGTTGCCGCTGTTGAGAAGCTGCGCGAGACGTCGCCTTACTACAGGTCGGTCGTGCTGGAGGCCGGCCTAACTCCTGGTGACGACGTCGACGCACTGGAAGGCTGCGTTTTGGAAACGGCCGCTGACAGTTACTTGGCCCGCGAACTTTTGCAAAAGGGCCCGGCCGATGCGCAAGGCCAAGATGAGGAGGGCGAGCCAGACGAACAGAATCTGGATCGCGGCCCCGGCAGCTCGGAGGACGCTGTCTTGCGAAGTCCAGCTGCCGGCGTCAGCAACTTGGAGGACGCTGTCTTGCGAAGTTCAGTTGCTGATCCGGATCCTGGCCGCGGCGCCGGCAGTTCGGAGGACGCTGTCTTGCGAAGTCCAGCTGCCGGCGCCAGCAACTTGGAGGACGCTGTCTTGCGAAGTTCAGTTGCTGATCCGGATCCTGGTCGCGGCGCCGGCGGTTCGGAGGACGCTGTCTTGCGAAGTCCAGCTGCCGGCGCCAGCAACTTGGAGGACGCCGTCTTGCGAAGTTCAGGTGCTGATTCGGATTCTGGCCATCTGGTATCCAGCATCGTTGGATTGAACGATCAGTCGGATGACGGCAATCGCTGGTTGCGAGTGTGTAGCGATGTAGAAGAACTATGTCGTCGCAGGCCTCCGCAATATTACACGGATGCGGAATCCGTCCTTCGCAGCCGGGTGCAGAACGAGGTGGATCCGGATCGGCCGCATGCTGTGGGCTTGTTGGGGCGCGAGGGCCAGCAGGAGCGGGCAGTGCTGCGCCGTGTTCAAAGGGTGCAGTCGATGGCCAAGGGTGTGGAGCAGGAGCGACGAGCCCAGAAGCAGATGTTTGAAGTGCGGCCGCAAAAGCTCGTGGTACCTTCTCGTGACGAACCGATGAACATGTTTCAGCCGGCCACCTGGGCGATGGCGTTCCCGGAGCTTTTTCCTTGGGGGGACGGCGTTCCGTTCGTCAGGCGCGAGACGGGCATGGAGGCGGGCGAGGTATTTCGGTATTTGTTGCTTCGAGAAGAGCTGGTTTATGGCGACACGATTGCTTCGCCGGCCCTTCCTCGGTGGAGTATGTCCGTGTCCTGGCAGTGTTACATTCAAGACCGGGTTCGGAGTTAAGAATGGATATTAAATATTTCCGCCGGCTAGCGGATATGTGAAAGTAGTATGTCCGTGTCCTGGCAGTGTTACATTCAAGACGGGGTTTGGAGTTAAGAATCGACATTAAATAATTCCGACTTGGTCCAGGCCGAGACGGTCGCTTGGGCCGTTGCTTGCTTGCTTCGACGCTGTCTTGCGAAAGAGCAAGCAAGCAACGTAGCCGCCATAGGAAGGAAAGCGCTTGCTTGTTGTTTCTAGGCTGGCAACCTTCGTGAGCAGCTTTAGAAATTACTCGGAAAGCCGGGTACGTGACGACGAAGGCCGGGGAGGGTCGCCTGGGAAGAGTAGCCGTAGCCTAGTCTAGGTCCAGGTTCCTCCCGCGCTGGCCCTCCACCTTCAACCCGACTCCGAAATGCTTCGTGATGCAGTGTAAGGTCTGTTGTTTTGCATAGATGGAAGTCAAATCGAAGGCTTCTGTGGTCTCACTTGATCCTCCGAACTCCCCCGAACCAGTTGTATGGGTGTGTGTGTGTGTGTGTGCTACAGAGACAACGCATTGCACGAAGCGTGCATTTATGAAGCAAGCGTGGACATGTTGCAGTTGCCGTTGCAACATCGAGCGGATGTGAACATCAAGACTATGGATGCGTCAACAAATCCAGCCCAACATCAAGCAGATGTGAACATCAAGACTATGGATGCGTCAACAGATCCAGCCGATGTGCAGAATTCCACCATGAAGTCGTGAGGTACCGTGGACATCTCAGGCCGATTGACAACCGAAGGCTGCCGAGCGAGAACTATGATGGGCGAACCATCAACGGCAACTTCAAGTGCTCGCATTGGTACATTGGTGCGGCGGAAGCGTAGTGATTCCCAATGCCTCGGTTCATCTCCTGGCCGCGACATCCTGTGAGCAGATAAAGGTTCATCGAGACGCAGGAGCTCCTCGATTGCTTGGCGGGTTAAATACTTCGCGGCATCTGGCGGGTTTCCTAGTGAAGTGGGGTGTTTCACTTCGGAACGGTGTCTTCCCAAATCCCTAATGGCTGCACTGCCTTCCGCTGCTGGACTCCCGGCGGCACGAGTCGCGCAGCGGCTCAGCGAGGTGGACCCGTTTGTGGTATAGGATAGATCTTAAACCCCAATCATCCTTTGAGAGACCCGTGTTGTGACTGCCGCTTGGGAATGTTTGCCAGATGCCGCCGGGTTTCTTCTTCTGAGATAGTATACCAAGGGTTGATACACAGGGTGTCACCGAAGCCTGGAGCTCTCGATGAATGTCTGCAGCTAGAATCAATCTTTCTAGAGGAGGCTCCGGACCACCGTGATCCCTGCATTAGTCCTACTAGGCCCTCGTGGATTATCCGGTGTGGATAGACACGAAATAAGGACCCCTAAGCCCGTGGCGTTCCCCTGGAGTCTGTTGGGTCGGCTAAGAAACATACGCTGGCCTCTTGTGGTTTGAGATGAAGAGCGAAACCCTAATTCCCTGCTACTTTCAGAGACCAGTGTTGCGACTTCCGTTTGGGGATGTTCGTCAGCTGCCGCTATGTTTCTTCTTCCATGATACTATACCTTGGGTTGGTATAATGCGTGCTATGGAGGCTCGGGGCTCCCGATGAACCTTTGCAACTACAATCAGCAGTTTTCATGAGGCTCCGGACCGCCGTAATCCCTGGGATGACCTCTCCCGGCACCTCCTCAGGCCGCGCGGCCCTTGACTCCACGGTGAGCCGTGCGGGCCGCGAATTCTTCGCTCTGGCTAGGTTGCACCGTTGCTTGCTTGCTTCGACGCTGTCTTGCGAAAGAGCGAGCAAGCAACGTGGCGACCTACTCTCACTGTAACTCTATGACTTTATGACTCATGACTCATGGACTCCATGACTCTTGACTGTATGTGCCTCTCGAGGTCCAGGTCGGGCTATGAGCCCTCACGCTATGGGGATCTCGATTAAGCGTTCCCACACATAGAGCATAGAGTGAACTACATCGAGTCAAGTGCATGCTACATAGATGACTCCATGACTCTGCGACTTGATCCCACTATGACTCTATGACGCTATCTCACTGTAACTCTATGACTTTATGACTCATGACTCATGGACTCCATGACTCTTGACTGTATCTGCATCTCGAGGTCCAGGTCGGGCTATGAGCCCCCACGCTACGGGGATCTCGATTAAGCGTTCCCACACATAGAGCATAGAGTGAACTACATCGAGTCAAGTGCATGGTACATAGATGACTCCATGACTCGTGACTTGATCTCACTATGACTCTATGACGCTATCTCACTGTAACTCTATGACTTTATGACTCATGACTCATGGACTCCATGACTCTTGACTGTATCTGCATCTCGAGGTCCCGGTCGGGCTATGAGCCACCACGCTACGGGGATCTCGATTAAGCGTTCCCACACATAGAACATAGAGTGAACTACATCGAGTCAAGTGCATGCTACATAGATGACTCCATGACTCTGTGACTTGATCTCACTATGACTCTATGATGCTATCTCACTGTAACTCTATGACTTTATGACTCATGACTCATGGACTCCATGACTCTTGACTGTATCTGCATACGATCCTACACACTGGATCTATCACATAGCCCCACACTCTTCGCTGATGATGCTTTCGGGCCAATTGTCTTCTAGTGTGGTGGTTTTTGCGAAGAAAATAAAATGAGAAAAGCAAACTTAATGAAACAAAACACAATTACAAGCCCCCCACGCAATCACACACACACACACACAAAACAAGAAGAAGAAGCCACACGAAATCGTTTCATGGGGGGTTTTTGAAAAGAAAATAAAATGAGAAAAGCAGACTTAATGAAACAAAACAAATGAACACAAACACAAAAGAAGAAGAAGCCACACGAAATCCCTTTTTGGGGCGTTTGCGAAGAAAATACAATGTAGCACCCATACTTTGAAGGCTTCGAAACCCCCCTTCATCCCCCCCCCTTCAAGCTCTCTTCAAGCCCCCTTCAAAGCCCCCCCTTCAAGCCCCCTTTAAAGCCCCCTATAGAATCCAAAGAACAGGTAGGAGTCCTCGCGAGTCCCAGTTCCAGGATAAAACAACTTGTACACTTCTCGATTTGTGCAGCGAAGGACGTAGAGAGGCTCACGAAGGGGGTTGTCTCAAGGCTTAGCAGCCAAAGTCCATGAACCCTCAACGGCGCTCTACTTTTCCTTCAACGCAAACAGACAGTGAAGACTCCTTGCGAACATGCGATAGTGCATTCGTTAAGTTGAGTCTACGTCGTAAAAGTCTGAAGCTAGCGTGACGACCCAAGGCAACATTCCGAAGCCAGCCTAGAGCCGAAAACGCCCGCAAAAGAGAAAGAGATCTGGAGGGTGCTCGATGGTGGAATTCTACACTCCTCCTTGTGACCTTCCACAAGAGTGAAGGCTCACACTATACAAGAATTCCTCGCCCCCCCGATCTTGGAGAAATCAAGGCCTCTCACCAAACAACCCCTAACCACGAACGAACGAGGAACGTGTGCCGTCAGGCAAGTGCACACGGGTCTTAGGGGGGTCTCGGGCCTAAACCTTCTAAAAACCCTAGGGGCGAAGGTTCGCCCTGCCGGCAGAAGGTGCGCTCCTGCCTGTACCCCGGTGTTCCAAGGGTCCCGCAGTCGTTGAAGAGGTGGACAACTCCGCCTCTTTGCATGGTAGTCATCACTGCTCCCGGGTTGACACCCGTGGGTGGCATCAACACCTGGTGTTGAGCATCGGGGTCCGTCTGGACTCCTTGGCTCCGCCTCGTGATCCTGCCTCCATCTAAAACCTCAGTCTGAGAGAACCTCGAAACCTGCAGCAGGGTCGTGGTTGTAGTAGATGAAGTCGCGGTAGAGTGCCCTTGGGCGCTCGGAGGCTGGGAGATTGGTCTCCCCCTTCGCTTGATTGGCTGATCTGAGGAGGACGGAGTAGACGAAGTCACCTCCTTATCGAGGGCTTCTCGCACGGCCTTTTCAAGACGGTCTTTCTTCCTCAGAGCCCGGATAGAGGGCGACGGGGGTCCTCGGCAGGACCTGCTTGCAACCTTAATCCCTTCCCAAAGGCCTACTATGGCTATGATCACAACAACCAGGGCCACATAGAGCGAGAGGTCGCTCGTCACACCTTGGAAGTCCTCCTCCTCCTCACCTTGGCCTGAGCCTGGCATGACCTGTGCAAAGGCAGTGAGCGCTGTGAGCCATTTGCTCAAGGCTCCTCCGCATCCACACAACACCTCAACCTTCCCAACAGAAGGAGGCTCAACTTCATCACTCAAGCCTACAAGGAGGGACAGCTCGTGAAGCCTAGGCCCTGCAAGGGGCTTCGTAAGGAGATCAGCACACTGCACGTCCCCCGGGCAGTGCTCTAAAGTCATTGAGGACCCTAACTGCTGCGTGAGCGCCGCGGCTCTCACCTGAAGGTGTCTTGTCCTCTGACTGGACCCGCCCTCGGCGAGGGCTATAGCGGAAGTGGAGTCGCACAACAGCGCGAGGGAAGGAGGCTCATCGGTGATGTCCCGCAGGACAGCCTGCAGCGACTGTCCATAGATAGCACCCTCACTTAGCGCCTGCAACTCTGCTTCTGCTGACGAAATCGCAATCAGCGGAAGTTTTGACGCCTTCCATTGGATCGTCGATCCCATATACTTGATCAGGATCCCTCCCTGACTGTGTTTTCCGGTCGGCGCGAAAGAAGCGTCGGTGAAAACTTCGAGTCCCTTTTCGGCCTCTGGCACCAAGCGGAGATGCCTATCCCTTGTCAGGGAGAGGTACCTGAACACTCTTTGTGCGACGTCGCACACATGTCGCGGGCGGCCTATGGTGTGCGATGCCATGTATTGCACCACAAAAGAGACGTCGGGACGACTCTTCTGAGCTAGCCACAGGAGCTCGCCGGTGAGGCGTTGCGCCTCCCTTAGAGACGTTGGGTAACTTACGTCCTCAGGATCTTCCAAGTCACCATCTGACAGCAACTCTTTTGGGCAAGGGATGTTACTGCCTCTGCCCTGAAACCCATTCTTGGCGAGGAGCTCGTCTATGTAGGACCTCTGGTCAAGCGCGAACCCGGGCTCATTTTCCAAAGGGCTTATCCCTACACCTAAGAACTTAAGGGGGTTCTGTCGGGTGGCCTCCTGGAGGGGATCCAACTCCCAGCTCAGCTGAGTGCACATTGCCTCGTAGAGGGCTTTCGCCACAGGATCGCTCGACAAGATGAGGAAGTCATCAACGTAGCACACCAAAAGTCCTTCCAACTCACCATTGGGACCCCTTATCTTAAAGACGTTCCCTTCAGTGCTACCCTGTTCCAAGCGGTAAGACTCAAGGTTGCCTGTCTCGGCACTGCGCAACTGGAAGGTGAGGCCTGTAAGCGCAGCATTTCTGTAGTCTGTCCACCACCTCGGACTCTCCCTCAAGCCATACAAGGCGCGGTTTATTTCCCATATCTCCCCATCGGAGATGAGATTCAACGCCTTGAGGATTGCCGGTGGCTGCAACAGGTACCTGCGGGTGGTACCTAACGGCGCTAGCAGGAAGGCGGTATGCACGTCAGTGCCGAACGCTTTCCACCGCCTACTGGCTCCCTTCAGGAGTGCAGCGCGCAGGACGTCGCCTGCGACGCCTGCAGCATAGACGTCACCAGTGTCGGTGTATCGGGACTCATTCCCGCACGCTACGATCCTCGCCTTCCTTCTGAAAGCCTGCTTCGGCCCATCCGGCCGGTATTTGCCGGGCTTGACCGTATACACTCCCTTAGAGTGCAGGGTGACGGCCTCGGGGTCCGATAGGAGCTTCTGGGCCTCGGCTCCCTTTCTCCGGATGATGGCTCCCTTTTCCTCAAGGCACCTGAGCTCTTCAAGCAACGCGGCCCTCCACCGCTCAGCGTGCTTCCGGGCTTCGGCTGGGGAAACTGTGTAGGTGGTTTCCAGCGAGCTATCTCCAAGTGCTTCAAGCTTAGCTTCTACATCCTTGGTGTAAACCTCTATCTTGTTTACCTCCGGATCCTCATGCCCTTGATGTCCAAAGGAAGGGCGGGACTCTGATTGTGGAGCAACAGAGGCCGGAAGCAATAGCGAAGAGGGGATTAGAACCGCAGGGTCTAGCCTATACACCGGAATGGTAGGGCTGGCAGGTGGAGAACTTGGCTCACCGCTAGGCCTCATTTCATCTGAGGAACCTGTTCCCTCAGATCGGGAAGGGGAGGCGGTCGTAGGGCTCAGTGCACGGACATACGGATGAGGGCCCCTGGAGCTGGAAGACTGAGTGGACCCGGTCGCGGGAGCCCTTCGTCCTTGGTTGCTCTCAGAGCCGTGCAGCAGCGGGATGCTAGAGAAGTGGTAGGCTCCTCCAGCCCCTTCGTACGACGCCCGGTGGCGTCGGTCCCCCCTTCGGAGAACTCTGGACATCATCTCAACATCCGCAACGGTCTGGGGAGTTTGGGAAGCCCGCATGAGGCATCTCACAAAGAAGAACTGATCCCCTAAGTAGTTGCCTTCCCTATCTACATCTTCCGTCGTCCTCTTTAGCCTAAACCCAATGTGGTACTCCTGGGGACTACGGGAGTCGGCATACAGGTCCCTGACCTGACCCAGTAGTTCTACCACAGGGACTGGTTCCTCCGGCTCGGAAGGGCCGTGGTCTCTCGGATCACCGAGATACTCTCGGAGAATCATGTCTCCATTGTGAATCCCACTCTGAATGACACCACTGGTCACTGCTGCAACAGCCACTCTCTCATGAGTTTCATTGGCCCTGAACATTGTCTGAGTGGCTTCATCAATGACGTACCCTCCTCGGAAGAACTCACCTTGGGTGGCGCGCTCCCAGTCCTCCCTTCCCCTATTTCCTCGCAAGTACCCGCGGAAGGTCTCCTCCGACACCAAGGTAAACTCATAGTGTCCCCTCCACGTGTCGGGCTCTCTTGCAAGGGGAATGGCCTCAACCTTCCTAATCTCGGGCCTATTAACCCTAAGGGCTGGCTCGCCCTCTTCTCCGGCAGTGAGGTCCCCCGGTAACACGAAACCCAATTCCCGGAGCTTGCCCCTTTGATCCTCACTAAGGAACTCTATCCTAGAGACCGTATACCCAACCAGGATCACCCTTCTGCCTGCCCACGGCTCGGTGAGATGGAACTTCGAATGGGCCTGGAGGGTCTGGGGTCCCGTTGCAACATCAAGCAGTCGGCCCGCGGTGGGCTTGCCCTTGACATCCCTCAAAACATTTCCGAACTCATTTTCCTCCCACACTGCGCCACCTTCAAACCTGGTCAAAGGCAAGATCAAGTTTGGAGTTGCCTCATTTCTGGAGTCCCGGTGTGGGGGTGCCATCACCTCCTCTAGAACTGCCGCCGAGGAAAAGCACATGTGGGGAAAGGCTCTCCGGAGAAGCCTGGTAAGGCACTTGATGGCAAGCGGGTTCTCCGCACAAGACCTTCTCAAGGAGGAGATCCCTCCTCTGCACATAGCACCACAGTAAAATGCGCGGCCCTCTTCCCCTGACGTCTGATCACCAGCCAGGGCAGGGTGAGGGCTCTCATAAGGAAGCCGTCGCACCATCTGCTCGACCCCTTGTGTTGAGATCCCTGGTCCGAGCTCCAGCAGTGCTGACGCGAGCTCTTCAGAAGCAGCTTCCCGGGCAGGCTCTTGCTCAGGAGGAACTAACCCAAAGCTATCCTTCCTAAACCTGGCAAACTTCCGGAGCATCAGACGGCCTACAACCGGAGTGACCCCGTTAGGGTTGCAACTCATTCTCGACCTGGTGGTCTGAAAGACATTCTGGGCATACTCCTCATCATTCGGTTCCATCGTTAGGTCGGCGTCATGTGCCTCCTCCTCTACACGGGAGAGGAGGTCTCTAGAGATGGGCTTATTGGCGATCACTTCATCATAGAATCTCGCCGGAAGCTGGTCCAGGATAGGACGGGTGATGCGGGGGTTGTGACGGGGCTCGGGAGGCTCCGTTGAGCCCGCAGTGGCTCCTGCATCTGAGCCTGGTGCACGTGGTTGCACACGGAGGGCTTCCGCCCTTTCCCTTGCTTCCCTGCGAGCACGGGCCTTAGCACCCATAGTACGAGGAAACTCATCTTCCCTCCCTATCAACCCAACTTGACCCTCAACATACCCGGCGCTTCTTGGGTTCTCTGAACGCTGGGCTGGGGCAATCAGGCCGCATTCATGGAGGAACACAGTAGCCTCGTGATCAGTCCAGCCTGAAGACGTAGTTCAGATCGCCTACCTCATGGACTCCCAAATCATAGAGGCCCTGGGCTCTGGACTCAAGACTGAGCCTCACAAGGGCTCGGATGATCACCGGATCCTGGATGGATCCCAAGCTGCGAGGAAACTGTTGCCCTGACGAGGAGGAGGATCCCAAGGATGAGATCTGACCCTCAGATATGGTGTTGGCCTCTACATCCGTCACCTCATCCGGTTCTTCGCTCTCCTCCTCACTTTCTTCATCCTCTTCTTCTTCTGGCTCCTGCTCCCGGAGAGCAGCAAGGCGTGGCCTCGGCCTCAACCTTGGACCCTTTCCCTTTAGACGGCTAGGTGGAGGGAGTTCGGAGTCTGAGGGTCCAGGGTCTATCACCCCTACGCCTGCCCCTATCACCTCCTTTGATGATCCCGTGGGCTCCCGGCCATCGGGGCCGAAGAGTTCCGGAAACAACTCCTCCTGGCCTCCTTCCGAAAGGGACGCATCTGCAGCTACCTCCGCTGCCTCCTTTAGCTCCTCATCCCGCTGTCTTACCAAGGCCTCAGGGTCAACTAAATCATCCCTGAAATTCTTCACAACCGTGGTATTGCCATCCGGTCTGAGGATAGAGTGTCCTCCAGGCACAAGGATGGACGGGGAGAGGTATCGACCTTCGGACCAATGGTCCCAGGGCTTGAAGTTGCCAGGCAACATCGGCCTTTTGAACACTATCCTTTTCCCAAAGTGGGGGAGCGGAGTGTCTCCTATAAGGGAGGCCTGGTGTGAGGCGGCGGCATGAGACATAGCGTAGGGCCAGAAGCTTGGCTCGAGCTCGGCACTGTTCAGCAGGCAACGGGCTCTCTGCTTACACCACCCTACTATGCGTTCCGCCAGGCCATTGGCCTTTTTATCATGAGCTTCGCTCATGGTGACGCGCACTCCCATTTGGGACAACCACAGCCTCAAGCTGTCGCTCAAGAATTCCCGGCCCTGGTCGGAGTGAACATTCTTCACTGGGAAGCCTAATTTGTTTATCTCCTGAACCATGGAGTGGATGGCCGGCATGAGGGAAGGGCCCTTGCGGGAGGTCATTGGCCTAACAAACCGAAGCACGACCTGGGGAACTGGGTCCTTAAGAGTTTCTATGGCCTGTTGGAGGGTCTCCCCAGAGTGGGACTCGACCTCCAGCTCAACGCTCACGAGAGATTCCTCAGGCCCCCTTTCGGACTGGTCCCATTCTTCCTCGCGCATCTCCTCCTCCTGCCCTTCTTGGATTGGAAGCAAAGGGTCCGACGGCTCATTTGCGGAAGCCAACTCAAGCGTGGTGTCCCTGAACAAATCCTTCAGGTCTTTCTTAGGATCCCATCTTCTCCGAAGGACGTCCTCAGGCACTCTGTACGCCCCCACAAGGGCATATTTGTGCCTTGGCTGGGCTGCAACTGAGTCTTCAAAGATTCCCTTCTGGATGGGCCCCAGGACATCTAGTGAAAGGGAGAACGAGGTTGGATGGGCCACCTTGCGGTGCTGCAGTCCTACCCCTGACCCCATAACGCAGGCCTTGCACTTCCTGTTGAACGGGAGGTGTCCGCTCTCGATGTGGCGTCTCCACCCTTCAACATCTAGCGCGGCCGCGGTCGGTACCGCTTGCTTGACACCTTGGACCTCTGGAACCTGGCCACCTGAAGCAATTGAGGGCCTGATTAGGCGCAGCGACTCACGCACCTCTTGATCGATCCTTCTCAACTCTTCCTCGGAGACCGGTTGCGGCCGTTGTGGCTGGAAGGATTGCACGACCCTTTCCGGGAGAACGGAACGGTTCTCACATGTCTCGACCAAATCGGTCCGGCAGTTTGTGAACACAGTCACGGCTCCTCCTATCGCAGAGGCTTGCTTTAAGTGGGCCCAACGCTGGAACTTCGGCCACCACTCATCCTTGAAGAGCTTAGCGGAGTCCGAGAGGGTCATTAAGGGAACCGTATAACACTGGCGGAGGCCACTGCCCACAACCATGAAACCTGGACCAGAAGCTCGGATCGAGAGGCGAGGTCAGCTGACAGACCGATGATCCTTCCATGAAGGGCTGCCCAGGCAAGGGAGGCTCTCAGGGGAGATCCTGGCTCAAGGTTGTTATGGGGCTTGGACAAGTCGATGTGAAGCACTTGAGCATCGGAGCACGCCGAGAGCACATTCTCACTGACCGCCGCTGGCTCCTTCCCGAATTGAAGGTTCACAAACCAATCCTTGGACTGCTCCAACGCTCGCCGGCGGCGCCGGGGAAGTCACAAGCCTTTCAGGGTGTGCCGGAGCTTGCGTTCCTCCCTGGGAATTGTGGTAGCTATGGACTGGAGGTGGTGGTGCTCAAAAACACCGCACGAAAGGCTGTCTGCATCACATCTGCTCGCGTACCTTCCTCCTTAGCCCATCTACCGCCTGCAATGGCCTTGATCGAAGGCTTCTCAGAAGTCTGCTGGACCTATGGCCTGCCGGATGGCATCCAAGTGACTCTGGAGAGTAGCCACCGTCACAGGGGTTCCTTGAAGCACTGGAGCCGCTTTTGGTGCTGCTGCCTCCGCCCTCGGTGCAATGGGTGGTCCCTCACCTGGCTTCCTGGCGCCTGTATGGCCTTCAAAACCTTCGCCGCATCATCCAAGAGGGCCTGGACCTGGCTCGAATTGGCGTCTTGAGCGGTTGCAACCTGGGCCGCCACTGCTGCTGCCTCAGGCCTCTCGGGTTTGTCAGCCCTTCGAGGGGGAGCTGGGTTCGGGGCCTTCGGCGGGCCTGAACCTCCTGAAGCATGCGGGCAGGACGCCTTTTGGTGGCCGGTGCCACCACACGACATACACCTGGACTTCTTATCCTTACTGGGGATGTCTTGCCAATTGTGGGCGTTGCGGCACTTATCACCCCTGTTGCACCCAATGCCTTGGACATAGAACCTGCAGGCACCTTGAGGGACAGTGATTGTGGTGTCTGCTGTCCGGCCCCCAGAGGACTCTGACTTCCCAGAGCCTTTTCCTTGGGAAACCGATGAGGCCTTTGGGCTTGCAGCTGGCACCTCAGGAACTTCACTGCGGCTGCAGAGGGAGTCGCCTTCGGCTTCAGGGTCTGAGTCCTAGCTAGGCCTTCTACTTCAGAGAGCAAGGCCGCATGGAGCTGGTGAACCACTGCGACGGAGGGGCCGTCTCAGCTCTCAGGGCTGCCTTCACAAGTCCCATTCCAAACTGCACCTCAGCAGCCCTCAAGCACAGTCTTAACTATGTTCAGCAGTGCCTTGATAAGGATCACCGGGTCGGGCAACGAACTCCCTCCAAGGGCCTCGGTCCTAGAGAGCCACCGTCTCCATTGGCGGAGCGCATCCAGAGCGGCCTGGGGAGTGGTAGCGGAGCTCGTGTGCTGGAGGCTGCGCAGGGCGTGCTCCCTCTCTTGTACACCTCCCGGGGCGTACAGCACATGAAGGCGGTAGAGAAGGTGAAGTGCTTGAGTCGGCTCTGGACCAACTCTTCGCGCACCTGCTTCGGAGCTGCCGTGATCAAAAGAGCCTCCAAGCGCTTGGCGAGTCTGGACCAAACCGGGGACTTAAGCTCCGGGGTTTCCACTGGATTCAGTGAAATCCTGCCCATGGGGTCACTAGCCAGGTGCCTTCGGTAAACCTCTTCGGCCTCTCGCGTGAGAAGGGCCCAGTACTGAGCACTCGTGGCTGACATGTCCTCGACCAGTGGGGCGACTTGGTGAAGCCAGTCCGAAAACGCAAGGAAGGACTCAGGTCCCAGCTCTGGAAGCTTCGGGAAGCTCCGACCAAGAGTGTTTCACCTGTTCCACCTTCCCTTCAGTTGGAGACGAACTTCCGTTCTGCTGAGACACCAAGGCCTGGAGACCTGCCAGAATGCCAGCTGCATCTGGAGAGAGACCTGACGATCCAAGTTCTTGATTGACTCCACTGGCATCCCACGCTCTCTGGAACAAGCCATGCCAAGGCGACTGTTGCTGGGCACTCGAGGCCTCAGCGGAGGAACCTGGTGGCACATCTGAAGCCTGCGGAAGTGCTCCTTGCATCGGTGGACCTGACTGCACACCTGAAGCCTGCGGAAGTGCACCTTGCATCAGTGGACCTGACTGCACACCTGAAGCCTGCGGTAGTGCACCTTGCATCAGGAAGCCTGACTGCACACCTGAAGCCTGTGGTAGTGCACCTTGCATCAGCACGCCTGACTGCACACCTGAAGCCTGTGGTAGTGCACCTTGCATTGGCACCTGACCTGAATGCACACCTGCCGCTTGCATGCCTTCCGAAGTCACAGAGTGACCCGTGCTCTGAGGAAGGACCTGGACATCTCCTGAGGCCTGCGGCAAGGGGATTCGCGCCAGGACTTACGGGGTTAGGGTTTCTCGGCACGAACGACGGGAACGCACCCTGCCCTAAACCAAACCACTCCATCACCTTCGCGGCCTGATTTCCCCAACCTGCACCAGAGGATTCTACCTGTACAGGCCTTCGGCCCTCAAACAGCAGAGATCTATTCCTCAAGGCTTCATTCTCAGCTGCCAATGCTCTCATCTGAAGTGCATGCTCCCTCCGAACAAGCTCAAGCTGCCGATGAACCTCTGCCTGAATCTCCCCAGCGCTGAACCCAGAAGAGTCCGATCTGGCTGCTCCTGAAGTCATAGCGATCCCGCCTCCATACAAGTGAGGGGCTTCCCTTTCCAGTTGCGCCAGCCGGAAGTTGGCTTCCGGTCCAAACAGCTGTGGTTGTCCTTGGACCTGAATCATCTGAGCAACCTGAGCAGTGTCTTGCGGCGTCGTCCTTCCAGCTGAATAAAAAACATCCCTGCCAGAAGAACTTCCCGAATCCGCAGCAGCACCGCTCGGAGGGGCCTCTGTACTCATACCACTGGTGGCCTGAGGCATGTCCGTCTGGCCCACTACAGGCCCTTCCACAACGACATCCGGAACTTCGGTCTGACCCTCCTGAACTGAACACCTTCAACAGCCCTTCCAGAGAAGCTCTGAGCCCCTTCCATGCTCCCAGAGTTCCGCGAGGGAGCGTCTTGGGAACTCATAACCTATAGAATCCAAAAGAACAGGTAGGAGTCCTCGCGAGTCCCAGTTCCAGGATAAAACAACTTGTACACTTCTCGATTTGTGCAGCGAAGGACGTAGAGAGGCTCACGAAGGGGGTTGTCTCAAGGCTTAGCAGCCAAAGTCCATGAACCCTCAACGGCGCTCTACTTTTCCTTCAACGCAAACAGACAGTGAAGACTCCTTGCGAACATGCGATAGTGCATTCGTTCAGTTGAGTCTACGTCGTAAAAGTCTGAAGCTAGCGTGACGACCCAAGGCAACATTCCGAAGCCAGCCTAGAGCCGAAAACGCCCGCTGTTCTGCTGGAGTTGCAAGTTCGCATCGAATGTCAGTTATAAGTCTCAAGACGTGGATTTCTGTTCCCTATCAGCTGCGGCAACAACAATTTGAAGCGATTCTGAGCCTTGTTCTTGACTGTGTTGAGTTTCTGCTTCAAAACTCGCGACGTGCTCTGGCTCCAGTGAAACGCGCAGAAATTCAAAACGTCGAATGTCTTCAAACGGAATGAAAATAGAAATAAAGTTTGTTTTTCATCGTGAACCCTCAATTCCAGAGCTCGTATCTGAATTCTTTGAAGTCTGAAGTCCAGAATTTTGCGAAGTTTTTGAAAGTGGACTGGATTTAAGACTGCAGTGTACAGTGAACCAGGTGCCGAATGCGCTAAATCAACGCTGCGGAAACACTTGACACATTGCGGATGCGCTTGCGCCCACCTCATAGCGATGCATCTTTAATGATCACCAAAAGCTCGGCTACACATAAACATAGCTGACTTTGTAAACGTATATCCTCTGTTTGGGAGGATATGGTGGGCGTCCGGCTCATCTGTAGAAACCTGAACAGTTCTCGGCTAGTTTCCTGGCACTTGGAGTGTGAGGGACTCTTTTCGCTTTAAAGCCGTAGGGGGCTGGGGTTGCCGGGCGGGCGGTGGGTGGGCGGGCTTTCGTCGCTGGGGCCTCAGAGTGTGGGAGTCTTAGGAGTGCAGTGTAGGATTGTGGCCGAGTGCGCACAGGAGGGCCCTGCGCTGCCTCTCCCGCAACCTGTGGGCCCCACCCCCTTTGACAAAGGGGGGCTAAGCCCCCCTTTAAGCCCCCCTTTAAGCCCCCCTTTAAGCCCCTTTAAAGCCCCCTTGGCGGGGGAGAAAGGGTCGAAGCCTTTAAGCCTCCCTTAAAGCCCCTTTAAAGCCTCCCTTTTTTCATCCCGAGTTCTTGCAAAAAGCGAAACCTTGTGACCGCTAGACTGTTTAATGGCAGGTTTTGAATTCGCGCAGAGAGTGCAATTTACAAAAATCGAGCAGATGTGCGTTGAAGGTTCTCAAAGCGGATGCAGTAACAAGCTCCAGTTTGTATTCTGATTCGAATTGTGCAATTTTGCCCGACGGGAGCAGGTGTCCACAGGTTCTTAAATGTTTTTCTTGAGATTTCCAATGTTTTCTTTTTTGTTTTTCCGCGGTGCAACACAAGCTGTCCCTGCAGGCATGTCAGTTGGAGCTGCTGCAATCCAAATCTGTTGGCTCCTACAAAGAACTGCATAAAACTCAGCACAGTTCTGGCAACAACACAAAAAAAAACAAGAACAAGTGCAAACTCAGATTCGAATTAAAAATTGGAGTGGATGCGGAGTGTTGGGCGCACGTTCTGTTCCTCATATCAGACTCTTGAGAAGCTATAAAGTGCCAAGACCTCACCCGAGCTTCCAAAACGACCTCTGCCTAAGAAAGTTCTTGGTGACAGCAGCTTGCACTCGGTCTCTGGCTGCTAGCCGGCAAAGTTAGCGTTAATTATTCGGAATCCTTGATTGGGAGCGCTTCCTGGAGCTGTGCCACGCAAAGAGAGCGAACGAGCATTCTGCGCGGTCACATGACCCAACTCTCACATGGCGAGCACCAGCTGATCTGATAAGCTCTGAGTCACAACTTCCGAGGGGTTGTTTGTAAAGGTCTGCTCGCTTTGCAACACCGGCTCATCGACAGAGCAGATGAGGCGACCATTCGGGTTGTAGACGCTGACAACACCCTCACGTCTCCATGCTCGAACCCAAACCTTCCCAAGACCCGCTATTGAGGTAACTGGAGTTGGTTCCCACAATCATCGGGAACCATAACGTTGGTTCCTACTCCGCTTGCTGTTTTCGAGGATTTCACGATGCAAATCCAAGTATGATCACATAATTCTTGATTGCTCGTCGACTTTTCACTCATTCGGTTGAAATTATCCACTCCAGAAGCAAGCCATGCATCTCCAAAAACTATACCTGATAGGATGGCTTCTAGGTTTGGGGGTTACATTTAATTTCAATTGTATACAAGCTTAGAGGATTCGGATAATGTCGTGATTGATTGTTGTGTCGCAAAGCTGCGACTTTGGCGTCCGGAGGACTGGCTTGCATGCTTTTCTGGGTCTAGTGCTATGCTTCTGAGAATCTCCAAAAGTTACATGGTTTAGGGTTTCGGTATAAATTACAGTTCGACATATATATATATATATATGGAATATATCCTTCGATCTTATTAAATATGTATTCATTAATGGAGTGTCGCAAAGCTGCGACTTGGCTTCCGGAGTCGAGCCGGAGGCATGTGTTTGGGATTTAGTAGTGTTCTATTATGGGCTATAGGCTTTTGAGGCTTTTCGGGAAGCAAGGGTGGGAGAGCTGTTTGGTCATGCGGGGATTTGGGGGGGGCCACGGGTCTCGGGGGCCTTTGTGGGAGCCTGTTTGGGCTCATGCGGGGATTTTGGGGGCCACTGTGGGGGACTGGGAGAGCTGTTTGGGCTCATGCGGGGGTTTGGGGGGCATTGTGGGGGCCTGGGAGAGCTTCCTGCGGGGCCTGGGAAAGCATGCCTCCTGTCAGAAAAATTCTAGCCGGGTGCCCAAAGTGGGGGATTTGGCTATTACGGTTCCCACTCTTTCTGTTACGGTTCCCACTCGTTCTGTTACGGTTCCCACTCGTTCTGTTACGGTTCCCACTGCCCTCCCGGACACCCTGAAGTTAAGCACCCCCAACTTAAACACCCCGAATCTATAAATCCGGAGAGATCTCATCCCCAAGCACAAACCCCGGCCAGATGCCCTGAAACCCTCCGTAGCCTTCCTGTAACATCCCAGTCCCAAATAAGTTCTAGAACACTACAAGACAGTACATGCTTTTAGTAAACCACCGAGCTGCTGCGGCTGCTGCTGCTGCTACCCTTTACGACTAGCTATTACTACTGCTACTGGTGCTACTGGCTGCTGCTGCCGCTGCTACACTACCACTACTACTCCTGCTGATGCAGCTGCCACTGTTTACGACTACTAGCGGACTACTACGACTCTGCTACTCCAGCTATGCTACTACTACGACTCCTGCTGATGCTGCTTCTCCCTGGCTACCCACACGACTAAGTGACTACGTAGTAGTACTACTATGACGACAACCAGGACTGCTCACGCTGCTGCTACCCTTACGACTACTAGTATACTGCTGCTCCCACAGTAATATTAAAACGTAAGTGTGTATCTGCTATAGGATGCAAGCTGGTCCACACACGCGAAATCATGATAGAAATGCTTGGCAGTCTTTCCTCCCACATGCCTGCTTGATCAGTCACATTCACCTCGAAACAAGCTTGAAACCTGTACATG